CATAAATCATTTTACGTTTCGGGAATGTTCTCAATATCCATTATTTTGGTGCTTGATACGATACAAAAATACCATGACAAACAGGTTACTCCACCAAATATTGATTCATAGGATTTTCCAAGATGATGCGTAGTATAATATTCCAACTCGTTTTAATATTCGATATTTTCGTTTCCCCACAAAGTCCCATGACCGTTTGATAACATTCCATCGGTGCCACATATCCTACTAAAACTATATTTAAAAATTGACTGTGATAAAAAAATTTAAAGTTTAATAAGTGCAAAATTTAAAATAAATTACAGTTATAATCTTTAAACATACATTTTATGTTCGGAAGAACAATACTACACACCCACGCAACCACCACGAGAATGTTAATGAAGGAATTCCATCTATCGAATTCCCTCATTTCGCCGAGCAAATTTTCATGCTCCCCACGTAATTGTCTCATATTTACACCACCACCGTCGTTCCGACGGGGTGTGTATGTTCGTCGCCTTCTAGCGGCAGGAGGAGCAGGATCGGCCGGTTGAAGTGGGGAACAGCAGCAGCAGCAGCAGGTGGAGGAGGAAGTTGGGGTGGTGGGGCAAATACATTGATGACTTGTTCGAAGTTAAATTCAAAGTTGTTTTGTTGGTTCATATTTGAAGTTTCACTAAGAATGTTTATTAAAAGTTTCAAAAAGCAAAACGAACAACTTTTAGTATACTTTTTTTTTATTTATATGTTCAAATCATCGAACATTTTGGAATACTTTAGAATAAAACATTACAAAGCATCGTGTCAATATCTCTTAAATTTAGAACAAAGCATAATGTAACACTAATTAAAAAATCGAACATTTTGGAATATTTTAGAATAATACACTACTGTTAATATTGAATGTAATTCCGGCCGAAATCTTAATAACTTCCATGTAAATCGTTTTTGATAATTACAGTTAGTCCTTTTGACGATCATTTGCCAGAGAAGCAAGGGTCGCAGATATCCCAATTTATTATGGTGGAAATCAGGACCCAGTAGGATAGTTGGAAGAATTCACTAGAGCCTGTAATGCAACAGAATTGCCTATCCAAAAAAATTAGAAGTCGTCCCAGCCTACTTGAAAGGACCAGCATCGACGTTATGGTCAGCAAATCAAGCCAAGCAGGAGGATATGTTAACTGAATTGTTGCCTGGTCAGGAAATAAAAATAACACCGATTTTGTTGTCAACTTTCCTACAGTATTTCGATCCT